TTTATTTAATTTTAATTTAAATATCCACATGTGTCTAGTGGCTTTTGTATCGGACAGCACAGATCTAGCTAGTAAGGTTTAGCTTTATTTCAGTCTTTTCAGAAAGCTTCAGAAAGAACTTAATACTTAACATATTTTATTGAGTGTCTACTATATGCTGTGTACCAACAACAAGATGAACAGTGATTTCAGCCCTCAACTTCATAGCCTTATTGGGGAGAGAAACAAGTAGATCAATGTTACTACATTAGAGATAAGCACAGAGAAGGGGTACCTAACCTAAAGGGTTAGGAGAGAAGGATGAAGCTGGGAGGTGGTCCTTGAGCCAATAACTCTTAGAATTGGGTGCTGATTTGCAAAATGGAAGAGAGAAGGCATTCCTGGAGCATTCTCAGTGCAAAGGCCTAAAGCAGGAGCGCATAGCCTGTCCAAAGGACTACCAGTAGTTCCACATGGATGAAGCACAGCATATATTAGAAATGGAGGGAAATGAGGCTGAGAAGGCAGGCGGGGCCTACTAGAGTACTGAGAACATGCATGTGTCATTCAGGAAGGCTCACCCCTGGAGGGTGACAGCTTCCCTAATTGATAGTAACTCAGAACTAGGTGAGGTTTCTAGAAAAGGTAAGAGTAGAGTGGTTTCCACAGAGGAAAGCTAAGCATTTTAGAAAAGTGTGTGGGAAAATACGTAGATTTGGATAAAGAGCCCTTAAGCCAACATGTGAGGAATGACCATGTAGGAGTGGGCCTTGAAGTCTGTGGTTAATAATTTTCAGTCAGTGGAGAAAAGTTATGAACACTCAGATTCAAAGGAATGGCACAGTGAAAGTGCCCATCTGTGTAAGTAAGGGGCAGGAGAGACTGGAATTGGGGACGCAAAAAACAGGCTATTGTGTAGGCTCCTGACTTGAGCGCTGTATTAGTCTGCTAGTGCTGCCATAACAGTCTCGCAGACTGGGTGGCTGAAATAACAGAAATTTGTTCTCTTGCAGTTCTTGAGTCTAGAAGTCTGAGATCAAGGTATTAGCAGCATTGGTTTCTTCTAAGGCCATTCTCCTTGGCTTGTTGATGGCCGTCTTCCTCCGGTGTCTTCCCATGGTCTATCTGTGTATGTGTCCAAATCTCTTCTTATAAGGATAACACCCTGTTGGATCATATGACCTCATTTTAACTTTTTAAAGGCCCTCTCTCCAAATACAGTCACATTCTGAGGTACTGAGGGTCACAACTTCAACCTATAAAGTTTGAGGGGACATAGTTCGGCCATAAGAGTCTATGGAAGGGCTTTCGGGTCTTTGTGAGCCCCGAAGTTTGAATGCTGAAGTTTGCACAACTGTGCGTTTGTCTGAGGTGTGTCCACAACATTCAGCTGAGTCCCAAAGAGGTCCGTGATCCCAGCAATTAGCTATTCCATTAACTGACTCAGGAGAAAGTTAAAGCTGTGGAATTAAGGCCTAGAAATACCATATGCATCAATAAACATGATTTGGTGTTCAATAGTATATGAAAAGTCAGAGTTGAAGCCGACTATAAGACTGCAAGTCTTATGAGGTACTGGAAATTCTGTTAGAACTGATACTGGGGGTGAGGAGGTTTTTATTTGGGGACTTCATTTGAATTTCATGGCAAATTATGTGATTTCCATGATTGTCAATACACTGGTAATTTTCCATAACGAAGTGAATTCCATGAAACTAACCTGCTTAGTATGTCCTTGCTAATACTTTCCTAAAAAGAAAGTCCCAGAGCTACAAAACTGTCACCAGCTGCTTCTCATTAGTAATGTGGTTAGCAGATGTGGGTTTTTATAGTCATAAGCATGAGATAGTTAATCCATTTTTGTGGGTTTCAGATGGATAGTGATTTATCTTGGCGGATGAATTTTAAAATGTGCTTGCATCAGCTAAAGGATATATGCACCTTTCCCTCTTTCACTTCATGTTTGTGCTGGAGAGAAAAACACATTTTAGGATATTTCTCCTGGAAGGCAGATGGGTACTGCCTGTTGAAAAGGACAATTGTCTTCTAACTGGGGAAGAGTTAATGCGTGCATAATTTTTCAAAGTTGGATGTTGAATTGGTTATCTTACAAACTTATTTCTCCCTTTGTCCTCTCCCTTAGTAGTAATTGAGTGGCTCTTGCTTTTGTTCCTCTGGCATCAGGCCACCTTTGTGGTAGTGACCTTCAGGCTTGCTAAGGGCTGCAATTTTGCCTGGGGCCCTCCTTCCTTATGAAATTACACAACACTCAGACCTTGGAACAAGCCCCAGTTCTACTAATTCTTTCCTTTGACGGACTCTTGGCAATATGTACTCCCTTTCAGCCAAAGTGTAGCTTTATACAAGATCTGTTTGTCACCGAAATTAATTTGGCCATTTGCCCTTTAAGCCTGGAATCAACTGGTATCATGGCAGACTCATTCCTAGATAAAGTATAGACTCAGTTTCTACCAAAGGTTTTACTGTTGCTGCTGAAGCTGAAGGTCAACAGGTAATAATAACAGCAGCGGCTGCTTTTTATAGGTAGTGCTGCTAAGCGCTTTGCATGCGTCATGCCAGTCAACCATCGTCATCCCAGTCAACCGCCCTTAGAGATAGAACGTATCTGAATTTTTCCAAAGAAGAAACTAAGGCCCATGACCTCAGCCCCTTGACCATTGTCATATAGCTTAGCAAGTGGCCAAACTGCAATTTGAACCTTGTGCTCTTACTTACCATGCTAAATTATGCATCTGCTATGAGGGAAAAGGAAAAAAACAGACCATTGGGTTTTGAGAGGACATAGAATCAGAGCCTGAGTCATAGAATTGTAGGAAATTAGGGATATGAAGAGAGCTAATCTAACCCCCTCATTTTAAAGCAACAAAATCCCTGCCTTGTTCTGAGAAAAAGGTAACAGTTTGAGCAGAGGAGAACCTATATTGATAGGTGATAGGATTGGAAGGTTATTAGGAATTATCTCAGCCATTTCCTTTTTTAGAGGTAGATAACATACCTGTTTGAAAAATATCTAAGCTTGTCTCACCATCCTTTAAAAAGCCATGGAAACAGATGTGTACTCTTTATTTCAGATTTCATTATCCACCGTAAGTAGATATCCACTGACTACTTGGAGATTTCCTAGATGGTAATTTTCACTGCAAGGAACCAATAACCTTCAGAGGGATTAATTGAAATGACTAATGTGCAGGAGGCAGTGAATTTCAATCAATCACATGTTTAATGAGTTCCTTTTCTACAAGGCAATTTTTTTGGAATAATGGGGAATAAAAAGAAGTTGATGGGTGGGCCTGCCCTCCTGTATTTTAAAATCTATTTGGGCAAACCAGCTAGGCATAAAATAAAATTGTTCAAAGCAAAAATCCCAAGAAATTGGGTAGACAGCAAAAACTAGGATGAGATCTTACAAGGTGGGAAAGTGGCTGAAAGGGGCAGCGGGTGTTTGGAAGGATGGACGGACTCAGGCAGGAATTGGTAAGGCATCATCGGGAGACACTGGATGAGTCCGGCTGATGTGAAAGTAGTGATGAAAGAGATTGTTGAAGATTAATTTAGGTTCTGATGGAGAACCTTGTGAAAACATCTTGATAGTTTGGGAATTTTTTTATGGATATATTTAAAAATAAATAAAAACCTCCAAGTGATCCAAATATCAATCTTCATTACCTTCTCTCTTCCCAGGGGTAAATATTGTGTTATGTAACTATTGTGTAAGTGCCATCATTTACTATTTGGTTAGATCTGACTTCCTCCAACTCTATTGATCAAAAGGTCTTGATACTTTTGGAAAGAATTTGCAGCATTTCCTTTTTGCTAATAAAGATGTCCTCAAGTGCCCAACCTCTGCGTGGTTACATATGTGAAAGTGTTCAAAATAGTGCTCAGATCCCAAGGAAGTAGCCTCTAAGTGCACTCTAATAAGCAGAAATGTCACATAACTCAGGCCTCTGGGGACTCACACCTCAGCTGGAGCAAAGCCAGAAATGTCTGTGACTGTAGGTGCATTTGGCACATCAGGACCTGCCAGAACAGCGAGCTGGCCTCACTGCAATTGATTTAGAAGAGGGCTGGAGGGGTGAGCTTCTGCTGACATTTGCAGTTTGGAAAATCCTGCTCCACGAACTGCAAAGAGGATTCTGCTGTAATATTTTTGGTGAGGTGCTTTTCTCATTTTGAATTTTCTTCATTTGGGCGCTGGGTGCTTTCCAGTCTCCTTTTATTGTTTTAACTCCTGGTATAGGAAGTTTTGCCCACACATGAATGTGCATTCAGAGTGGGGCATGGACGTGGCTTACGAGCTTCAACATGTACTTCATGAGCAAGCAGGTATATAGCCCCTTTTACAGGAATTGATGCACACTCCCTCTGCTTGCAGCTCCCCCACCCCTGCCCCGTGAAAACATGGGGATTTCACTTTTACTGCTGAAGGAAAGTTAGAGGGCACCTTGATCTCACGTTTTTTGCTGAGGTCTTTCTCAGCAATGTGATTTCTGGACGTTCATTTTTGAGATCTGAGTTATGTAGTTAAAAAAATAAATAAAAAGCAATGGACCAGGAAACTAGACCTGACTGAGTTTGTTTCCTAACTGTAGACTTTGGCCAGTCTGGCTCTCTGGGCCTCAGTTTCCTTAGTTCTTCCAGCCCAGGAAGTTTGGGGGTAAAGCTGGTGGATTGCTTCACCTATGTTTTTTGATAAAAGCTGCTGCAGGCTCTGCAGGGTGCCTACAGTTTCTGGGGTGACCCATTTACTTTTGCCCCAACAAAAGGCCACGGCTTCTAGGATAAGAAAGTCAGATCTGCAAACCCAAGTCCAAACTTTTGGATATTTAATTATATGAGGCTTTTCACACTCATATCCTGCTGCCTCCACTGATCCTACACTCTGTTCAAATGGGAATTTTGTTTTTTAAATTTAAAAAAATTTTTTATGTAGCTGAGCCATCCTGCCACCTATTGGCAGCTCAGCAGCAGCTCAGCTCCGGCCGGGCATCGAACCACTGTTGCTCAGAACTCAAACTCTTGAGCGAGCTCTTAACCAACTGAGCCACTCAGCCGACCCTCAAATGGGAATTTTGGCATCATCCTAGGTAACCACCATTCTGCAAATATCTTTGAGGCCTACCTATTGTGGTTGCAGGGCTAAAGAAGACACGGTCCCCTCGGTCCCCTGTCGTATTGCAGGCAAGTAACAGATGATTACAAAGCAGATTTTTGCCTCTGGACCTTTGCTTATGCAGTTTCCTCTGCTCCCCTATTCACCTTCCATTGTCACCTCTGTGAAGCTGACCCCAGACCCAACCGAATGTGTCTTCTGCTCTCAGGGCGTTTTCTGTATGTGACTTAACCACATAGTATCACACCAGGTTGATTGGGTCTTTGTTTTCCTCCCCTACTAGACCGCTAGCTCTCATTTGACCGCTAGCTCTCATTTGTGGTACGTTTTTCTCAGCTCATCTCCAAGCCTCAAAAGGAGCACAGCCGCGGAGCCCTTAGTAAATCCGCAATGAACCAATCAATGCAAGAATGAACGTGCAACCCAGTCTTGCAGGCTTGCAAAGTGCTTCTCGAAGTTGATCTTGCTTTCCGTGCCCAAGGCAGCTGAGGTGAACTGCAGGGTACAGGTCAGGAGTTGGGAGTGGGGGGGCGTCGGAGGTGAACAGAAGGAGAACGTGAGACAGAGCCCCACTGCTTTCCTACTGCCCACGTCCGGTGAGCTACAACGGACTGGACTGCGGGCAACTGCTTAACCTCCCGGAAGTGGCTCCTCTCCCCGCCTCTCCGGGGGTGGGCGTGGTCGCTCATGAATAATGAATCACCACGGGGGGGAGGGGCCGGGCCCGCCCCCTCGGGCGGGAAGGGGGAAGCGCTGAGGCTGCCTGACTGGAATGAGGGTAGCTGCGGCGACTGCGGCGGCGGGAGCGGGGCCGGCCATGGCGGTGTGGACGCGGGCCACCAAAGCGGGGCTGGTGGAGCTGCTTCTGAGGGAGCGCTGGGTCCGTGTGGTGGCCGAACTGAGCGGGGAGAGCCTGAGCCTGACGGGCGACGCTGCGGCGGCTGAGGCCGAGCCCACTCTCGGGCCGGCGGCGGCCGCCTTCAACGGCCTCCCGAACGGCGGCGGCGCCGGAGACTCGCTGCCCGGGAGCCCGAGCCGCGGCCTGGGTCCCCCAAGCCCGCCCGCGCCGCCGCGGGGCCCGGCAAGCGAGGCGGGAGCGTCGCCGCCCGTGCGCCGGGTGCGGGTGGTGAAGCAGGAGGC